GGTTTGAATATCAAAATGTATGCAATTAGTGAAGCATCATAATTCACTCTTTCGAATTGGATCAATCAACATCAATTATTCATGCATTTTACCCAAAAATCTAGGCTTCTATAACATATTCCTACATTAATCTATTGAAATCAAATTAAGAAATGTCGATATACATCAAGCATACGGAAGTAAATAATCCATCAACGACATACATGAAATTGAAACTTAATAAATATTTCGATCAAATGATAGAAAGAGCGTGACTAATTCTATGAAAAATCTAATAAGAATTGAACCAATTTCAATTACCAATTCAAAAAGGGAAACCTAGATTTATTTAATTTCACTTGCAATCCTGGAATTTAGAATTCCTAACAACATATTCCACATTTATTTATTGAAACAAGATTCAAGAAGCGACAATATACCTTAAGCATAGAACAGTAATCAAATCACGTCAATAATTCAATTGAAATTTAAATTCAACCAATATTTTAGTCATTCAATAGAAAAAAACATAATTGAATCCATGAACAATTTAATAAAAGTTAAAGAAACATCAAAAGTATAATAATAAAGAAGAAATCTAAATTCCAGAATTATTCGACAATAAAAATCACATTACATGAAAGAAAAGATGTTGAAATCATCAAATCCGATCGAGATCCTTTGTGGCTTCACCAAATAATTTAGTTCTCCATAGATTTCTTGAGCTAAAAATCAAAGAAAAGTGATAGGAGGTAAATGGCTGCGTTCTCGTCTGTTTTATGGCTGAAATATCGAGAGAAATTAGGTTGCCATAAGTGGTGGAATCAAATTTGGAAACCTGAAAATCGCTCGTCGAAAAACAACTATGTGACTGCATGGTTTTAGGTGTTGCGGTCGCATGGTTCAATGATTTGGGCCCCTAGAATTCGCTGATGCATCCATGCAATCGCATGGCTTATTGTTTCGATTTTTTCTGCCGGACAGCTTTCAGTATTTTGACTATAACTTTTTATTCCATTATCTGATTAAGGTGACTCAAGTTGCGTTGGAAATCTAACACAAAGGACTACAACTTTTATTCAGAAGTCATCTTCAAATTCGATCATCTTCCATGTAAAAAATGGGCCCAAATATGAGACTGAAAACCGATGCGTAACTTTTTCGATTGGTAATTGATTTGTGAAGATGTTATGATTATATTTCACTTCCTTTGATTTGTTTTCTCATCTACTTGACCTCTAATCATTCTTGAATCATCATTCCATTGCCCCATCTCATCTATGAATTATTTGCAACTTGATCCCTGAACTTTCACTTCTTCTCACTTTGGTCCTTTTTCATTTGTTTTTTTTCCAAATTTCATCGTTTTCACCAAAATGCAACCTAAACAAAAACATATGATTAATGAGTGCATTTTGGCATAATATAATCACATGAATGCAACAATTTAGAGGGAAAAATATGGTATTTTACACTCTTATCACACCTCACAGATTTAGATTTCTTCCTAAATTCACTCGGACCACCTCTTTGTCTCTCGAGGCTTCATCTTATTTATAAACATTTTTCAGAATTTCTTAGCTAGGTAGGCCATCTCCTCATCATTGGGTGAATCGAAATCAGAAGATTCCATCTAGTTATTCCTTGCAGTCTTCAAGGCTATGAATTTTTCCTTACCAGGATTGTCTAAGGTCAATCCATAGGTCTGGAGGAATCTAACTAATTCCTCTACCTTGATGGTGTGTATGTCTTTACTTTCTCCAATTGCCGGACTTTAGGCTTAAAACACTCGGGTAAGGATCTAAGAATTTTTCTCACTATCTTAGGCTCGGGGATTTTCTCATCTAGGTTGAAGGACGAATTGACTATCTCATTTAAGTTCGCATAGAATACATCAAACATCTCATCATCTTTCATTCTTATCTCTTCAAACCTAGTGGCCAATATCTGCAGTTTCAAATTTTTAAGTGCCTGAGTTTCCTCATGTGTGGTTTTTAAAATATCCCAAACTTCCTTTACTACCTTACACATGGATACTCCCCTAAATTCCTCGGGGAAAATTGCCATAAACAGGGCATGGAGGGCTTCGCTATTTAAATTGTAGCTATCCAATTAAGCTCTAGACCAATTTTCTACTGGGATGAGAGTGACTACACCATCTACTGTGGTACTAGAGGCAGACCAACCATTTACCACACTTTGCCAGACATGCTCATCCAAGAATTTCAAAAATGCTCTCATTCTAACCTTTCAATACGCATAATTATTCCCATCAAAATGGGGTGGCACATTCAATGAGGTACTCATCTAGACTAATGTAAGGTCTGGACCGATGTAAGGCTCTGATACCACTTGAAAATTCCTAGGAACATTCTGATACTACTTGAAAAGTCACCTAACGCGTTGCAATGTCAAATTTAAATTTTATAATACTTTACCAAGTTTACGTTCTAGTCAATTTCTTATTCAACCTTACTGCGAAATTGATTAATTAAAGCAACACGTCACTTTAATTAATTGTCTAGGTGACTAAACATACAATCCAGTTAATCCTATGTTGAATTGTCGGTTCGTAATGCGTAATGTAAATGAAACAGTAAAAACACCAACTCACATTATGACGATGGAGAAACCCCAATGTGGGTAAAGCTTCAAGACCAAGCCAGTGATTTCCACTATACCAAATTAGCCAGTACAAGTTCCGTTAAATTTCGTATCCAATCAGACCCGCTATTACAATCTTACGATCTACTGCCGTAGATGCTACTAGTCTCCTGCTAACTTCCCAATCTACCTCCTATAGCCCAATCTGCTGTCCAATACAGTCTTCTGGTCTTTAGCTGATTGTATCACCAAGTAGAACTCTAAGAACCTCCCGTTCTTGTCCAGTTCTTGAGCTTGTCGTCCACCTCTCTTAATCCTCCAATGAGAAAGTCCGTTCCTCAAAGGATTAAGGATCCACGGTATTTTATCTTCACAAGATTGATGTTTTTCCCCAAAAGATTGGTTGTCGGGTCACAAGATGTTATGGATCTCTTGAACAAAGATATGAAGATGTATTTCAGTCAAAGAATAACGTGGCAACATCATATTTTCATCCATGACTTTTGTATTTATAGTCGGGGACAATTAGGAGGCCTAGGCCGTGTAAAACCTTCCAAAAATTGAAAATATGATTTTCCATATAACACTGTCGCTCGAGCGAAGAGCGAGCAAAAAGCGAACGACAATACTTTACTTGAACAAAATTGGGGTGAAAAGCGAGCTACGAGTATTCTATTTTTCTCGCTCGAGCGATGGTATGGCGAACAACTAGCGAGATTTCGGTGTCGCATCCTTGATTTGAACCGTAGACTCAAACCCATTTCCTTCTTACAAACTTTGCTAAATTATACCCTAGGTCCCTAACTTTTACAACATTGTTCAATTCAGTCCCTGACTTTTACAAAATTACAATTAAGCCCGTTTGTCTTACAGAATTGCCAATTGCAAATTTCAAACCTAACACCTCCAATGGAAGCCACATGGAGGCACTACGTTCATATACGTGGTAGTCAACCACGACAAAATAAAGAAAAAAAGGAGAATTGCCTTTCAGTAGAGGCGCTATCTCTATTAAAGCTTTGCTGCCGAAGTGCTCCCTCCCAAAGCCAAACTCGTTTGCACCCGAAGCTATCTCTCGTGGTTGAGGCACTTGTTCTCCTTATAGCAGGCCTGATGAGTTTATCCTTAAGAATGATTGATGTAACGTTTGCATTAATAGTGTTAGATATGTCAGCCTAGGAAAGTAGGATGGTTGACCACTTATCAAATATATTTGTCAATGTAATTAATGTGTGATAGTGTGATGTGAGACTTTGGTCAATTAGATGGAGCCAAATGGATTTGATTCAATGGTGAACACTTCGGCTTGATCTCCATAAATGGTAACTTTTGTAACATTGCAAGGGATGGAAAAAATGATATTCCAACTTACATGCTTATCACCACTTATTTGTTCTTTATTTGCTGAAGTTACAATTATTCTTTATTGCAATTGCTTCCAACCGTGTGTATTTCACTCCTATTCCCACATTTAGAGTAAAGCCCTTCGACTTCATATCTGAGTAAAGCCCTTCGAAATTTGCTCAAGTGGACTCAAACAAAACCTTACACTTGTTGGTACATTATTGGCTCAACAAAGTTGTTTTGCGCAAGAGAGGAGCAGTCACATAGGCAAGAAATTCAATTACAAACCCATGATCGAGATCCAATTTTCCTTTACCCATAATTGAAGTAGTTTCTTTCACCACATCTGAAGGTCCAACAACTAACATTCTACAGGAACAGTTTAAAATAGTATGTGATAGACGTATGTTTTAGATTTCAAAATTATGCTTAAAAAATTTGAAAATTTGAAATGGGGTCCAGAAATTAGTTTATTTTTTGTTACATTTACAGTTTCCTACTGTTGTTATAAAAAATGTATGCTCCAAGACTCAGAGCTTTTGAAGATGCTTCTAAATATGATAAGTTTTTTTATTTTGGTGGTTCTGAAATGAAGCCTTTTGGTTCAGTTTTTTTTTTTTGTGTTGTTGGAATTTTGGTTTAAAACATACGTACATGTTGATTGTTATGGGTGTTAACCTATAACCTATACTAATCCATTTTTTCATGTTTATCCAGGCGGATATACAGACTACTTCACAATGGCTGTATACAACGGGATGTATTCTTCGATAAGCTAAATAATGTAAAGTACAAACATGGTGTGATAATGTTCATGGACTATGTGAAGCCTAAGTATTTCAATACAAATTGTTTTGAGAATTTTAGGTATGTGTGTTGTCACACCCTCATTTACATTGATATCCATACATAAACTAGATATAGAATTTCACATATATTTTTCTTCACCTAATAAAATGAGATAATACTTTCACAATTATATCCCTGTTTGCTAACTCTTAATCACTTGTGACGATCATGTAATATGTTGAAACCAAAATCATATCGCCATAATCCAACATATATATTCTTAGATTATAAATATGTCTACAGGTCATGTCGAAAGATATGCAACACAGGACCCCCAACACATGTCACAATATACCATAAACTTAAGATAACAGCCTAAAAATAACCCTACAGGTCGTCATCTATATACATCGAACTCTGGAATTCCGTAAGAGCTCTACAGCTAGCTGTGCGCTCTATGTAGTTCGAAGTTCACCTACAATGCAAAACTACATAAGCCAATGCTTAGTAAGCAAAAATCATGCATATCATGAATATGAACATCATGATAAAGAAGTATCATATTTCAATATTCATCAAAGTCGACTCGAAATCATTTCATTTGAAACCTTTTATTTGGTTGGGCCCTTGACCCACCTACTATGTACCGGATAGAGCTCTGCACAATATCAATATCAATAATCAAATGACCAATATGAAATCAATATCGACGAGTGGACCATCCTCTCGTGACCACTAGAGGCCTATCCCCTAACTACCTCTCTGATCCCCCAAGAAGTATCCCACCCGACAGCGCCAATAATCATAATATTACAAGGGCATAGTCGAGTGGTCCATCCTCTTGTGATCACCAAAGGCACATCCCGTGTCTAGCAATCACCCAGGAAGTATCACTTGCGATGCCAAAACATATCACAAAAGCATGCCTCACATGCCTCGGTACCCTAGTAGTGGTAAATAAAACATTTATAAACAAAACTCAATTTAAAATCATATTTCGCATGCACGATTTTCAACCATGATCACATGTCATGCATGCTGATAAAAATGCTCATGAATGACATGCTTAATGAAAATCGATGTTAACATGTTCCGTAACTTCATACTCAACGATCATAATCATCATATGAGGTGCTATAAGCCTCTTATCAAAGTTATATAAATATTTCAACATTACTATATCACATATACTAGGTTTTTGCATCGTACTTGCAAATGAATTTTCACTTACCTTTCACTTTTGTGTGTGCAAGCTTCTACGGAGATTAGATCAATTTCCTTTTTCACTTGAAGTCAGAAAATCACCTGTATTACCATTTAATATCAAATAAAATCCTCAATTTAATAACCTTAACACACAAAATCCCAAAATACATCCATTCTCACCAAAATAATTTAGACGGAATCATCATTTCAAGTTTCCGATGTCATTACAAACTAATCACAAAAATCTCGCTATTTTTCGAGTCCAATTATGAATATCAACATCATCCAATTTCTTTCGCAACCTAGTACTCCTTAGAATCTATTTCCTAGGCCCAAGAGATGATTAATGGATATGTAAAGGTTGAAACCACATTAAACAAGAAAATTGACAGAATCTGTTTTTCAGGTTTCATCACCGTCCAACTACTTTTTCAATCCTTTTTCAACCCCTTTAACTATATCCAACGACTCTCAAATTTTTACCACACTTTTATAACATGTATATGTAGGTCATAATGCCCTAAATTTGTGACAAATAAAGGGTTTTTAGCTTCAAAACCGTCCATTTTCCACTACACCAAATCAGGCAGTTTTCCTTGTGACTGTTTTCGGTTTCCATTTTATTACACTTCACCAATCAGAAGCTATTACAAGACCATTTCTATTCTTATAACTTCATATAACAAAATTTATTTACATAGATACAAGTTATATCTTAAGCATTATCCAAAATCAAAGTTTAAACCATTCAAATTCATCAATCGACACATCTCTATCCCTGTCGGTTTCTTTCAGGTTCTTGTACTTGATTACCCCTCTTTTTTGCCATCATAAAATCATCAAAACCATCCTACTTAACCTCAAGTAAGTTTAGAGTTTAAATATATTATAAAACACCCAGAAGAACTGAAGAAAAACTTCAAAATCTTGACTTAAACTCACCTCCTCAAATTGTAATTGCAGCTTCTTATTTTTCTATCGCTCTTTGCTCCCTTTGCTCTTTCTTTCACTTGGGGTTATATTTCGAGAGTTAAATGTCTTATCTAAGAGATATATAAGTAGCCTCAAGGATTGGAATCGTGAATGATGCTTAAGGATGAAGGAAAGTGTAATTAAAAGACAAGTATCCTCAAGCATGAGCTGTCCAAGCAGGAGGTGGATTCATGCTGCAAACTTTGAACTTTCCCATACCTTATATGGAGGCATACGTGTCTTATAAGATGTATATCTATCCAATATAAAGTAATAATGATTTAGGAGACGTGCTGGAAGTCTTAAGGCTGAAGGAATTAAATGTTAGATTGACAAGTTTTCACAAGGTAAGTAGGAGGTGTCTCCTTTGCAGCAACATTTGACTTTCTTACTATTATCTTTGGATCCGTTTATCATATAAAAGATATATATTCATCCTATATTAAGTACTTAAGGGATGGGACATCAGATTGATGCCTTAAGGTTGAAGGAATTGAGTGCTAAAATGACAAACATCCCAAACGCGAGGTGTTCAAGCATGAGGTGGTCACTTGTAGCAAAAATCTACTTTTATATCTATCTTCACAGGCACAAATAAAGTATCCTTGGATTATTTTGATGTTTTTACAATCCATTTCACTTGTCCTAAGATCTCAAAGTATTTTATAGAGCTAATTCCTCAACCGTTCATTTAATCTCTTACCCGATTGAAGCCCGATTCTCAACCGATTTCAACAATTCGCACCTCAATATTTATAACGTCATATGAGACATATATTCTTGTGTTGTGATCATGTCACTTCATGCCTCACGTCCCAAAATATATCAATTACCTATTTAGGGTTTAAGGTGACCTCGATCCACCGAATGGAAAGTTTGAACCTGTGTCGATACTAATTTTCGACCTTTTCAATTTCCATTACTTGACAAGCTAATCTTCAACATTTAGTTAATCTAATTTTCTATCATAGCTCAATGTGAAATTCACTACCTAGGTCAAGGAGTCAAAGATCATCACATATAAAGATTTCAAAGCCTCGATGATCAAATGCACTGTTTTAAAAGAAAGCAATTAGGCAATTGATGCAAATGACAATGTAATTAGCATGAAATGCATGAATCATATTGGCCATATATATGACATGAAGTTCAGGGTATTACATGTGTGGAAATTATGGGCATCTAAAATTTTACTTCAGGCTGCAGAAAGGCAATTTGGATAGAGTTCGAGGATGTTGTATAATGAATCAGATGTGAGGGAGATGTTGAAGGATGTTAAAGAGCATAGGTTGCTTGAGATTTATGTGGTGGTACCTAGCAAAGCATATGCACTACCACAAAAACCATATCAAGATGTTCTAGAGACTAGTGCCCATACGAAGAAGGTAAAAGGTATACCGAAGTTTGTTACATCCTGGTGTTTGATATTGATGAATATGGTTTAAGGGAGCATAATATTCGTGACTATATACCTGGAAATGTGGAAGAGGCGTGGTTGTAATTCAAGGAAACTCTTACTTATATGTTGGAGTTGGTACTTCACAACTAAAATTGGTCGAAGAAAACTCGAAATTAGATGATGAGAAACCAAGACAACCCGAAGGACATTGTGATGATGAGAGAATGGAAGATCCAGTTAAATGTTTTATGGAGAGTGACTACGAGGTTGAGTTTTTATGAACAAGCTACTAATAAGGAGGCTAAAGAGGTAGTTAGCCCTGATTTTGATTTTGATTTGGATTGTATGAGGGTAAAAAATTAGAGATACTAACACTGACTTCAGGGAGTCAGATGAATTAAAAAGTTTGGATAATGAAAAGGATCAAGAAACAACATCTAGGAAGATGGGACGAGCCAATGCATTCAACCTCTGGTCTATTATGGAGGAACCAATTTTTGGAAAAAGTAAAGCACAATACCCTCCCCTCCCGATCTTTAAAATATGTTTGACCATTCCCCTAAACTTTACAATGAGTTGTGGAATTCTCCTCTCACAAAAAGATTACGTTGTGAAAAACTCCCTCAACAAATATATATTTTGTGGAATACACTCCTTACGTTTTCATGTTGTACACTAATAGGTTTGGTATTTGAGATTAAAGAAATTTTGTAAGCGACAATATCTGAGCATTCTGCGAGATCAAATCGAGGCATCAAGTGCACTAAAGATGATAGGTATAGGTCATGGGAAGTATGCCAAGAAAAATCTTGTGGGTGGCTACTATATGCAAGTGAAAGATGAGCATGAATTTATGGTGAAGACTTACAGTGATGACCACACTTATGCAATGGTGTATCACAACAAAAGGCCAAATTCAAAGTACTTAGCCTTTAGATATTTATCACATGGAAGGTTGAGCCTAATATATCTGTGAGCGAATTTTTGAATAAAGTTAAAAGGGAGAATTTGGGAGACGTTTTGAAGTGACAGTATTACGGAACGAAAGACATAGCACTGAAAAATCTTGTGGAATTATTGCGAGCATCTGAAGCATACAAATGTTGATACAACTATCACGACCTCTATTGTTGAAGGCTCATCAACGAAGGAAATGGTGATGAGGTGTTTCTTATGTGGGACTGTTGGGGGCAGAAAGAAGCGTAAAGATTGGAAACCACCTGTTGCAAACTGAAAAAAGAACAATTTGGGATTTGCCCTTATTTTGTGCTCAGCATTTTGTTGTGTCAGTGTATCGTGTTTGATTGCAATTATTTTGTAATGTGAACGCTTATTATGGTGGTCTAGTAATTGTGTTATTTGATGTTCATGATGTTCTCTCATTTTACTCCACTAGAGTAATTTCCTACCTCGTACCCTTCCCATTACCTGTTTAAGGTGGGTTGGGCGAGCCCCTTGCCCCATTTAGTACCCGTTTAATTTTTTTTTTTTTAGTTTTTGATAATTCATTTTATTGCCTCCATTCATTAAATTAAAACAATAATATAGTTATTAAATGTTTTAATTCATTTATTTATTTTTGAAAGTTAAATTATTCAAATATATTTGGTAAACTAAGGTTTTTATTATTTATCATCTTTCTTAGATAATCTTAGTTGCCATCTTCTATTAGAATTAATGAAGTTTCATAAAGTTTTCCTTTTAAGTATTGAATTCTAAAAAAAAAAAAAAAAGGATGGGGTGAGGCCTTTGTTACCCGTCGCATCCTAGAATCGAAGACCCGATTAAGTGGGTAATTTCAGCCCTATTAGGGGCTAAGGAACTACGGGTATCGGGTTTGACAGGTTTTTTTGCCATCCCTACCGAGTATCTTAAGTCTATTAAAACTCTTGTTGACCAGTTGGTCATGGTTGGAAAAGCTTTCGATGATCTCGATCTTATTTCATTCATCTTGAGTGTCCATCATTCACTTCATTCATCACACCTTTCTTCTTTATACAGTGTGAGAAGAATTTAACCTTTGATGATTTTTAGGCTGAGGTACTTGGCAATGAACTGCGACTTCTTTGTCAATAGAAGCTCACTTCTCCTTATGAGGTCGGTGGCTTCGCTCTCTACGTTGCCAATCCTTGTCATTCCAATGCTCGTTGGTAGTAAGGGCATCCTCAAGGTTCTCATGACTGGCAAACCCACAAGCCGAAATTTCCTAACCCGAATTTATGCCATGGTTTACCACCTTAGCAGCAATCTGCCTCCTCTGTCCAGCCAACCATAGAAGAACAATCTCATTCCTCTCTCGGCAAGCCGATCCACCTACCAGATCTATGGCTATAAAAACCATCAAGCTTTAGATTGCTTTCATAGAAAGAACAATTTCATAGGCTTCATTCTCCTAATCAGTTGGGCACTCTTGTTGCTCAGTCCAATGCCATGATTGAAGAACAAACTTGGTCTGCAAATAATGGGACAAACAACCACATCACGCCCACTACCGAGAACCTAACCAAACATATTCAATCACCATTGGCAATGAAGAGGGTTCCAAATTGCAAACACTAGTTCAACCTTCTTTTCTCACCCTACATCAAATCTTGGTTTAATAATTTACAATGGCCTTCCGCATCTATCAATTTATTTCTATTTAATGTTTTTCTCAAGATAATGATTTCTTTTTTATACTCACTGCTTCTCATTTTTATGTGAAGGAATCGCGGAGAGTGGCCCTACTGCTTGAATGACATAATGAAAATGATTTATATTTAGTCAAATTGTAAAATTCAACAGCAGTAGTACATTTTGGATTAAAACTCTCTTTTCCTGATGGCACTCTAGACTAGGGCATCCCTCAAATCCCATTGTATCATCTATAATAAGTCACATGTTTTACCTATTTTATCGAATGAGAAGAATAAATTGATTGAAATTCGCAAATCATGTCAATTTAGCAAAAGTAAGAATTCCCCATTCATCCCGTCAAAACACTTATTTTTCAAAAATAATTCATTCAGACATTTGGACTGCACAATTACTTCTCTAAATGGTTGTAATTACGATGTTCCCTTCAAAGATAATTTCTCCCGATTTACGTAGATTTATCCACTTGCCTGAAAACCTGATGTGTTCCCATCTTTCATTACATTTAAATGTGTAGTAGAAAATCTCCTCTCTCATAAGATTAAATAATTTCAAACTATGGGAGTGGAGAATTTAATCCCACATCTATTCAGTTTTTTTTTTTAATCTCAGCATGGTTTACATAGAAAATCATGCCTTTGTACCTCAGAGCAGAATGGTATCACTAAGGAGAAAGGGGACATCCTAGAATCTGGCTTACTCTAGTTGCTCATTCTCGGCTCTCTAAAGATTTTTTGGTCTTTGCTTTTATTGCGGTGGTTTATCTCATTAATCACCTTCACCTACCAATTCTTGAAAATATCTCTCCTTACCAAAACTTGCTCAATCAAGCCCCAGATTATTCCTTTCTCAAAAGCTTTGGTTGTCGGTGTTATCCGTTTCTCAAACCATATACTAAGCATAAAATAGAACATCGCACCAAAGCTTGTATATTTATAGGACATTGTTGGTCACAAAGGTTACAGATGTTTTGATCCTCTCTCTAGAAAATTCTAAATCTCCCACAACGT